CACTACTGCTACTACTACAACGGCCACTACTGCTACTACTACAACGGTCACTACTGCTACTACCACCACGGCCACTACTGTTACTAGTACCACATCTACAAGTGAGCTATGCAGCTAATTAAAAATTTCCAATTTTTCGTTTCAGTCAAAGCTGCAATGATAGTTTATCACTCATGCACGCTTGATTTATTTGAAGAGTGGAGAAAAAAATAAATACTTTTGTTTCTGTTACTTGATTTCAAGCAATACTCAACAAATTCTATTGTCTCTAAAGAGATCGTACCAAATCTTCGGAACAGAGTCCATACAATTTTCTAAGCCCGATAGTTGTATATCTTACTAAGTCAAGACTGCTTTTTTATGAATCAAAAGGATAATTTTTCTTCATAGTTGATTCTATAAATTAATTCTGCCTAAGTATTTCTTACACTCTTTCATAAGCCCCATCTTGACATTTTCTTTACCTATCGTAAATCTTTTGTTTAACAGCAACTACTACAGAAAACCCGTGCGTACTTGTTTCTATGGGTACCTCCAATATACTCTATACAGTAACATCGCCAAATACAACATCATACTACTGTCTGGCTTTTGCATGGACATCAAGTATCACCGGCTTGGTCAATCTTGCTTTCGAACTTCGTCAAGATCCTGATTACTGGTATCTGGATGATGTATCTGTTGATAACGGAACTTCTGAAATGCTGATTAATGGAAACTTCGAATCAGGTGCTCTCTCACCATGGGTAAGAACGACACCAAATGGACCCTGTTCAGGCGCGCCGGGTACTATCTGTAACTGGGGAGCTCATTCAGGTACCTATGATCTCTGTGATGGAAGTAATGGATGCGCAGATTTAATTAGTCAATCATTCATGGTCACAGTTGGACAGGCTTATAACATCACTTTCTGGATGAAATCTGGTTCACCTGGATCAGTAATATCGGCTAATGTAACAATCACATAAACCATTCAAATGAAAGATACCAAAATTTATCTCAAACTAAGTGATGTATCCATTCTCGAACAACATATAGATAGGGATGTGCACTTTCGGTTTACTGATAACTGATGTCACCGAAGAACGATACACTGAGCACTGGCTTACACTGCAGTGATGTTACTGTCACTTGGAATAAATCGACACCGAAATTCAGAGCTCACTGATCACACTGGAATTGGTGCTCAGTGGAACACTGACACACTGATTCTTCCATAGTATATCATATTGTGCGCTGTTATTTATAATCCTCAATGACAGATACAGAAGTGAACTCATAGACACTGTCTGGAAGCATCATGAAGATTAATTATCTAACTTTTGAATAATTAAGTCAACTTTTCTTAATTATTTCGTGATTAACTCTATTCTTAATTCGTAAATAGTGTTTCGGGCTCAGATCCTTCCTCATAAATCTTTATTTTTTTTTCTTTTATTTTTAAATATTTTAAATTTGTCCGTTTCAGAAAGGCTTCGAGTGATATACAAAACGATAGGTCCATCAAAAATGATGAAACTTTAAACTAGTTTAATATCTTCATTTTGGGGTACGGAGAATCTGAAACACACGTTCTCGTTTGAACCAAATTAATGTCCAAAGGAGACATGTCTTATAAGGGATTGAAAGTCCGGAAAAATCTTACTTAATTCTATTACGGTGAGAATCAACATCAAGTCTTAATCTCTTGCCACAATTTTATTTAGTACTTTATCACAAATCAAATTTTTCATACCAGATGTTCCCTCAGGTATCGAAAAAGCTTCTGTGTCGCTATTCGGGTACAGAGGTATGGATGCGGATGTGATTCCTCTCAACCGATATCCATATCCACCAACACTCTACATCCATGGGCTCACTCTTGTATATGTCATTGAGGATTATAAATAAAAGCGCACAATATGATATACTATAGAAGAATCAGTGTGTCAGTTCCATTGAGCACCCATTCCAGTGTGATCAGTGAGCACTGAATGTCGGTGCTTCAGTGAACGACAGTGTATCAGTGAATTTCAGTGTCGATTTATTCTCAGTGACAGTAATATCACTGCGATGTAACCCAGTGCTCAGTGTGCCGTCCTTTGGTGAAATCAGTGTCGGTATTTGCAGCTTTTACACTGAAACCGCACATCCCTACATATAGACCTAGATTTTTTTCCATGTTTTTTTTCTTGTCTTTTTCTTATAACCAAGACTAACACAACGAAATAAAAATAATAATACACTGAAAGTATCATTCACATACTATCATAGTTTGGTAACTAATTGAAATGTGTTACTAAATGATGATTGGTTGTGTTTGAACAATGATCATACTACAATTGTGTTGGCAACAAGCAAATTTGTTGATTCGATATTTTTGAAGAGCCATTTAATTGTTCAATCGTCTCTCTGATTAATATTGAGAAAATACTCGTTTGGTCTCGTTTTTATATTGAACGATGAAACAAAAGTATTTGAAGAAATATTTTATTTCTATATATATTTTTCGATCATTTTTTCCAATCAGATACACAAACAAAGAATTCGAAACATATGAAAAGGAATAGCAGAATAAAGCAGAGTTAATTGACAAGATTATGTAGCAAGGAAATATGGGAACAGTTATATGCTTTGCTAATTGATTATGATGTTGATTGACATTCATTCACTTGAGAGTAAGTATCTGTAGCCAGTATATTATCATAGTAAACATACGAATGATGTTCAGTGTGAGGATTCCTAATAACAGCAAGACTGTGCCGACCATCAACATACAGCAGCTGATAGATGTTGACATAATCGCAAAGGTACTATGACGTCAATATTAGTCTCTATAGTCCTTATTCACTTGACAGCAAGTGTTGTTGTATTTGGAGTTTAATAAATTTCTATTGATTGCTCGAAAATATAGTCTCTAGATTGTACATGGTGATAAAATGCGTGTGCTGGAATTACTGCCGTTGTACTTACAGCCGCAGACAATATTTATAAGATGCTTTTGTGTACTCGCAGAATATAGAAAAAGTGGACTTTCAATTATTCGTCAACCTAATAAATTTTTATTTGACATTCACTCATCAAATCTTTCGTTGTTAAGGCCACCCGCCCCCCTCAAAAAAAGTCAATTTCCGTCAAAAATTTCGAAATTTAGATAAATGCATGGAAAGATAGCCCGTCTTTAGATCTTTCAGAAACGACATTGGTTTTTCTTTGACATCTCTTTTTTGGCCAAGATTTTCGATGATTTTCATTGACTTCTTCTTGAAAAATATGCTTATTTTTAAAAAAACGAAAGATGATTTTCGTTTTTTCTCAGTTTATGATTTTTTGATCTTGGTACAAGGATTTCTCAGTCCAGGCTCAGTAAATATATTTAAATTTCTTTTTGTTTGAAAGAGCGCATCGAGATGCAGGTCACTACAGAGCCCTTTTTTTAATTAAGCTTTGTTTTTTATTGTATATAAAGACACTTATGTGACTGGACACCCATTTTTGGGGCGTTTTTTGAGTCATTGGACTTGTGATCTTCTTTCTCCGCTAAAAAAGTAAGAATCTTAAAAAAGGGACTCTGTAGTGCTCTGCATCCTGACATGCTCTTTCTAACAAAAAAAAAAATTTTAATATGTTAGACGGGTCCGGACTGGGAAATCCTTGTACCAAAATGACCTATTTTTGACCCTTGTTTGGTGAATATCTCGGTCAAACATCAGGGTATCGAGCTGAAAATTTTATCACAGCCTCCCCACATCAGCCCCAACATATGCTCCAAATTTCAGCCCATTTGAACATACCTGGGCAGAGATCGATTTTTGAGGGGGGGGGGGTGGCCTTAATATAATGGCATTTTATACGACACCGAAATTCTGGAGTCTTCGATGTGTATAAGCATATAAATCAGTTTATGTGTATTAGAGGGCTCGGCATTACTCTTATAAGAATTCTTTTATTTTTAGTTTTTTCGTAGACTTCAGTAAATATCTATGACGTCACATTTCGACATACTTCAATATTAGTGTTGTGTATTTAAATATAGTAGCCTGTAAAAAAAATACAGGATCATCTATATCAATATTTTCTAAGTTTAAAAAGAAGTTTTTAGAGAAAGCTCAATCGTTCTCCGATTCGAACTGAGCTACCACTGACATTATGTCACGATGGTCTTAGTCTATGCTGGAAAATGGATTGGATAAATATTGTAACCCATGAAAGTCAAACTTCAGCAATCAAATCAGTGATCAGAAGTCGTACATATAGAACACCGATCTGTACAACCTCGAACGGTCTTCTCCGTTGAAGCTAAATTGATTTGTACTCTAAGTTTGTAACTTAAATTTATTAGATCAACATCACTTACTTCTGTTCAAGTAAAATATTCTACATATAATATAGAATTAATTTTTCAAACAAGTTTATTAGATTTGAGTGGCATTGAAATTTTCTCACCTCTGGGTAGTTCCACCGAAAATCTCCCACTTTATACAGAAGTATCTACAGCCAAGCTGAAACTTTCAGCGATTGAAAGTTTCACTAACCTAAGACCTTTGATAAAAAAATTCCTCAAATTTTCGCTCGGCATCATAGTTTTTTAAACCACAAAATATCAAATTTTGGTCTATATAGCCATAACAATGATTTTTCGCCATTTTGTGATGCTGACTTTTTTTATATGACAACAACCCGTAATGAGAGTTTTATATACGGTAAAACCTCCCATAGTGGACACCCCTCGATAGTGGACATCTCGTTATAGTGGACACTTTGGGACCCGACCAAACGATTTTTGCTGTAATTGAACCTCCGTATAGTGGACACCCCCATATAGTGGACACTTTTTCACAGTCCCTTTTGCATAAATAACCTCTATATAGTGAACACTAGTTATGAACTGAAAGAAAATGTCGCAATGACTACCGTCGATGATACAACATAATGACTCTTCTTTATTGATCAGGCGGTGGAATGAAAAAAGAATACGCCTGAGTTGAAGAAAAAGAAAACGTCCGTCGTGTTAAATAGAGATGACGTGTATATAAATAATCGCATTGTAAAACTTGTGTCATTTTGTTACTATCATTAAGAAAAAGTGAACATTTATCTGGATTCGAAAGCGGCGAAACAAAGTTCTATCAAAGACTATTTTGATAATTGTTAATTTTTCTATTTTCAAAAATTATAATATATGAAAACAGAAGTAATAACGTGCTCTATCCGATTATCTTATTCACTAATACTTCAGATGCCTAAAATCGTGCCTACTTCTTCGAAAAAGATATTGTTCTTGAAAAACACTTAACTTTCTCATAGTGGAAACCTCCATATAGTGGACACTTTTGAAAGGTCCGAATGGTGTCCACTATAGAGAGGTTTTACTCTATAGGTATTCAGTACTAAGTTAGTAGATTGTACACAACATTATATCAACGGTGTGGATGTGGGTGTGGATGGGGTATGGGTGTGTGGGTGTCGGTGTGGGGTGTGGGTGGGGTATGGGTGTGGGTATGTGGGTCGGTGTGGGTGGAGGTGTGTGTGGGTGTGGTTATCAATCTTCTCTTCACTCTCATCCCACACCCACATTGAAATGGAGTTTTAGAGAGAATGTGCTGTTTTCAAACGATGACAGAATCTCATGTTCGCATTCACTATGCTATCTACAACTTTCGTACGAATGCATATTTGTAGAAGAAAAATATGTCATCCTTTAGGGAGAATGCATAACAAAAGAGTATGCCATCGACATTGTTTTGATTGATAGAAAACAGTTGAGTACATTCGAAAATCACCAATATGCCTGTCTAGTCAAGAATGTATTATAAAAATAACATGGTTTAGAGACAAAAGTTTGTTATTGAAACAATTAATTTACAACTATGGTTAAGAGATCGATTCTTAATGAATGATATACACGGAAAAACAATTGTAAGCTTTCCAGAAACTTATGACCTATTAATATTAATAGATTAGCGTTTCGATTTATAATAACTCTGAT